ACTTCAAGAGGGCCCCAAGACTCCGATCACACCACAGCTCACTGGTAGGGTTGAATTCCATTAATAATGTGACCTACATATCCCTGTAATTAATATTCCAAACAGACGGATAGAGAGAGTACATATTTGCCAATAATACAGGATAAAGGCAAAACTTACAGATCTTAGGGAATCATAAGTTCGCCCTCTCCAGATGTTTTTTTTCTTTTTCGGGCCATGCACTTTGGTCCAGTGGCTCATGACTTTGATAGCCTGTGCGTCTGTGGGCCAAGCAATGAAGATACAAAATATGTACATTTTCATGTGAATCACGCAGGGACGAAACTTTAGATTTTTCTATAGGCAAGAGTAAATTGTACATATTTTTCTTTAGTTATACTGTATGAAAAGGTTTATGTTCAATTGAATGAATCAATCAGCAGTACACTGAAAAAAATGAAATGTTGACTTTAACTGAATGTATTATGTAAAAAAGTTGATTAGTTGAAAGCAATAATATTAGGTTTAGATAAAACGTATTAGGTTCAACTTCATATTTTAGCTTTCCATTAACCTAATACAGTTATGTGAAAAAAAATTTACACAATACATTTAATTAAAGTCAATGTTTCAGACAGAATTCAAAATATATTTTCACTGAACTAGCCACATGCACCCACAGTTGTCAAATCTGAAAAATGAACTGGGTCGCACAATAAGACAGCGTGTAAAGACAGGTTTAAAGAAAAGGAAGTTGGTGTCTTGGTAACAGTGCTACTGCATCATCCTCATGGCGGCTCATGGGCTGATCTCTTAATCAGTGTCCAGAGTGTGCATGAATCCTCTTCTGAAGGCTGAGGCTGTGTCCATCTTGCCTGCCCGTCGCTACTGCCAGTCCCAGCCATGAATATGGAGCTGTTCTGTGGCTGGGAGCTTGCTTATGTTTTCTGTCTGATATCTAGGCCCCATTCCCATTTCAAAGGGAGGTCCACCCGGGGCTTTGACTTTTTGATCTGCCTGGCGACTGAGTCGACCACCTGCATGTGGGATCAGCTGCCAGCGAGAGCAGACAACCCCTCTGCTTCAAAATATACATCCTCCCCCCTCTTCGTCCTCTCAGCCTCATTGCCCTTCACTGTGCCCCCTCCCTCCATGAGGCTGCATGGAGCCCCAGTGGTCCTAACTGGGTCTGGAGCTGCATCCCGCTCCCAACTGATCTTCCCGTGGTGGGTTAGATGCTTGAGATGTTCAGGGTAGCGGCAGGAAGGCTCAGGCTAAAGACACAGGGCCGTTTTGTATTTACGAGAAGCCATAGTGTCAGGTAAAAAAACAGACGACTTGTCAAAAGGTCAGTGGCTTTTCTAATCAGAGATGGTGATCCATACTGTGAGCTGTAACCCTTCTCAATGCAGGCTGCACCAAACCTTTAATTCTTTCAGAAATAACCAAATTGGTGGGTAATGAACACCCATTAGTTGAAAGAAAAATCCAATACACAAAGTTTAAAAACCACATCAAAGCCAGTGGTGTGATTTTACAATTCAGACTCCAATAAATCAATAATTTGTTCACTGTCATCGCGCTTAATGGCAACTCATGTTTATATCTTGAGCCACCACTAACTGACTAGGATGTTCTTTCTCTGATGAGTTATATTGATGAGATATTAACGAGCGCCTCCTGCCGGGATTAAGGTGGAGTTAATATTTTACATTGCATTTCACTAAAAAGGAATGCAGCCAATAAAAGTTGTTTAAAAAAACCCAGATGCCAGCTGTAGCCAAAATATTTTCTCTGTGATACAAAGGGACTGGTGTTGTTGCTAAACAGGAACCAAAGGAAATGATAATAGTTTATTTGATGATCATAGATATGAATATGATATCAGGATTCCTTTTCTGCCTCATTGGGATCACTGTGTCTGTCACGGTATAATTAAAACCCAAAGGATTTCAGAATATTGAATTCAAAATTAACTAAGAGCGGATGCCCACCACTAGACCACTGACATCCACTAAGTAAATGAGGACCGTTGATGTGAGAAAGAGGATACGTTTTTGGAAACAGTTATCAACCAAGACCCAACCAATCAACAGCACCAACACAGTGTTTTATACTAATTACCCTCATGGCCTGTGATGATTTTCACAGACCCACATTTGTTAAGATTCATTTTCAAACAAAGCAACAGCTATTTGAGATGTCTGTGTTTCTGGCTGTTTCTTACAATAGGTGATACTCAGAGAGTCTTTAAGTTAATTAGCTTTCTTGAACCCTGACAGCTAGCTTAATGAGTGTCTAATTGTTTCTCAGCTGGGGTGAAACCCCCAGACCACAAAGAAAAGGAGGTGTGAGAGAAGCTACAGCAACAATGAAGAAGCACACCGTGTATCCTTTTGATAACGACAATTCCCTCCTTCTTTTTACCGCACACTGAAGCCTATTTGTCTGACTATGGACCAAGGCCAAGGTGTTTACTGTTCATCATTTTAAAAAGAACTGTGCGATTATTTATTTATACGATCACTATCACAGTTTAGTGGCAAAACAAAGCTATATCTCTCCGTGTTATCGATGCAAAACAATTGTCTAAACCTTGTTGCTTGCAGAAACATATGATTTGGGGATTTAAAGGTAGGGTAGGTAAGTTTGAGAAACCGGCTCGAGATCGCTCGAATTTGAAAATACACAACCGGAGAAAATCTGCCACTTCCTTATAGAGCCCCTCCTCCAACACACACGAACGCGCACATGACCAATGAGGGCACGAGATAAGTTTGTGCACAGATGGAAGGCTGACAGGCAGGTACTGTAGGCCATCCAGTTATTTTAGCCGGGCCGGCACTTAAGATATTCATTGCTATCGGGATGTTAAGAGCATTCCATGGAATATAACAAAAAGTGTATCTCGAGCCGGTTTCTCAAACTTACCTACCCCACCTTTAAATGTAGCTAATTGCTCCATTAGAACAAAAAGGAACACCTAACAAGTTATTTAAACACATTTTTTTTAGTTTTCTTTGGTTTACAACATGTATACACAACTACAGTATAAGTAAAAGTCCTTTACATACTCCTGATAGACCTACTGTACGCAAAGCAATACACTACTTCTATAACTGAGACAAACAAGTGGAGAATGACAAAGCAACCACCCCCCCAACCCGAACCACAGTGTAAAGAAACTACTATTGCTTTGACAACAAAAACAAATATACAATTAATCAAAAGGCAGAAAAACCGGGGGAGCAAATAATGAATTGAATGGGGAAATGAGGACAAATTGCCTAAAAGGGGGTGGGGGGTGTGATATCATTGAACCATCCTGAACTTACTTTTCGCTCTCAGTTCTCTATCTCTGGTTATAAATGACTTCAGATTTGACGTTTCCAGCCCACAACCTTACAACAAAACACACTCTCTTTTATTCAAACAGCGAAGAAATGAAAAGGGAAAAAATTACTTTTGTTAAAGAATGACAGGGGGTGTATGTTGTGCTGCTCCCATCAAGCAGAAAGGCGGGCGGCAGTCGAAGGGGCTCGCAGCCGGGCCCCTCTTTGGAAGGCCCTCATAAATCCTGATTTGAGCGGGGCGCTAACCAGAGGAGGAGAGGCACGTCAACAGAGGAGGCTGGAGACTAGGAGGGGGGTGGCAGCATGCTTCTTAAAATGCTACGTCTGATTAAGTCTTCCCATTAGGTGACAGCTGAACTTTAACATTAATATGATAATATTGAAATAAGTGTGTTATTTACTTCAGCGGCGGCAGAGGGGGGTGGAGGGGAATAAAAGGAGGAAGGAGGAGGGAATGATGAATGATTTCTGGACAGCTTTGGGTGACATGCCAGGCGAGCTGACCCCCCCTGCGATCCTCCTCCTCTTCCCATAATCAGACTTGACAAAATGGAGACATATGCAGAAATATTGGTTACAGTCGGCGTCACAGCCCTTCTCAGGCCTCCCCTCTCTGGTAACTGCCGGCCGCCCTGTGAGCCGCCCTCCAAATTGTCTACGAGCACTGAAGCATCTATTTCAATTGGCACTTCCTTCCTGGCCCCAGGATTTTACATTTAGTCGGTGTCATTTACATATTACTCTTAATCAAAATCCACAGTGGGCGACAGGGAGAAAAAAAAAACAAGAAAGAGAGAGCGAGAAACAAAACCGTGGCGTCACGGTTCAGGGGTAGGCACACAGGCACTTTATAAAATGGAGATGTGACAAGACATTACGGTGTTAGTGTGTGTGTGCGTCTGTGTGTGTGAGACTGTGTGGATGTGTGATGTGGTGGCTGCATAAGATAATGCCAGGACTATTGAAATATTTGCGTGTGAATGCTAGTGTTTGTGTGATTGTTCGGGCTGCATGTGCGTGAAGAGACAAAGGCTGCGAGTTGAATATGGGTGGTAAGTGTGAAAAACAAAGGCAAAGAGAAGAAAATAATGGAGACGTGTACAGTGCGCACACTTGTCTTTTCTTGCCTTTTTCTGGTGGCTGCTACTCTGTTCTCAGTTTACCCAGACACCAGTACCATCGCATGTAACAGAACATCATTCACACAGTTTGTTTGTTTCATTCAAACATACATTAATTGTCATAAAATTAGAACATAAAAGTAATAAGAATCATTTTATAAACCAAATTTAAAGATAACAAAAACCTTAAAATAAGAGTTATACTTCAGAAGTATTGCATAAAGTGCAGTTGTTCCTTGTTGAGTAGTTTCTTTGTATACATTTCATCCAAATAAAATGCCACCAAAGTGGATCAAATCAACTGGTCACAATTTAACCAGTGACTACTTGTCATAAATGGCATTATCAGCATATTTATTTTATTTTATACTGAATATAATTGTACTGTATTCCTTCATTTATTTATTGACTTGTCCGTTGTGTATTGACATGTACCTGTGTTCTCCACAATAGCAGCGCAATGTGCGGTCAAAAGCAACAACAATGGTTGGTATTCATCCTAAATGGAAAGATGGATCACTTTAAGGTGCAGAAACAAGGTCCGTACCTGCCTCTTACCTTCTCAGCATGCCGGTGAGGATGCGAGAACTCTTGCCCAGGTTGGCGTCCGTTTCTCTCAGCTGGGGGAACAGAATTGGGAAAAATAAAAGTTTTAGTTTCCATCGTGAATAAACAATTCTAAAGGTTATTAAACACAGTCTACATATAAACTACTCATGCAAGGCCATACTGTATAGGCTATACTTGTATTGCTGGCCTCAAGGCAAGGTACCTTGCTCAAGGGCAAATTCAGAGGGCACCTCTAAAGTTTGACATTTTATTCCTACACCCAAATGTTTGGTTGTAGAGAGAGATGAATCTAAGAAACTTGATAACAAAAGTATTAACACTATTTTACTGTTATGTCACGTTTATTTTTATTTTATTTTTTACAATAGAACATCTCTGTAACTTTGGTAAGTTAAGAGCAGATGTCCACTAAGTAAGGACTTGTCTTTCTAGCCCTCTGCTGATCATGCAGGGGAAAAGAGTGAGAAGGGCCCTCAGTGTACACAGCGAGCACGAGAAGCACACTTGAAATAATGAACATGGGTATTCAGAGCTAATTGCCGTGGATATTTTCCCTCTTGCTCCATCTACTGTCTTTTCTTTCTCCCTGCCTTTATTTTTCTCCGGGGTCAGGGAGATGTTTTTATTTTATACTCTCATCAGGTGTAGGTTCTTTCACAGAGAAAAGTATTTGGCAGAGATGTTGCCAACAAGGTGCGAGTGTGACTGTTAAAAAAATGCTGACACCGCACTGAGTGAGCTGCCACTAACGTCTACCTGTAGTCACATTTCTAGAGGGTGATGAGGGAGTGCGGGAAGAATTTGTGCAGAGAGGTTCTTTCTGGAGTCAGCCGGGAGTCATTTATGTTCATCTCTCTCCGAGATAATAACTGCTTTCCCAGTAAATCAGTATGTCGTAATCAGTGTATTATTTACGAATTCTATTCTAATTTTGATTCCTCACTTTCACCTCTGTTCTTCCACCCTCCCTCTTCTCTACAATAGTTCCAACATCACTCTTTTTCCTGTGTGTTCTGGCTCATCTTGCATTCATCTCTCTTGCCTGCAATTCGCCCTCTCTTCCCACCCCTTCTTTACTGCTACTTTTTTCCTCTTCTTCCATCCTCCCTTCCTACCCTCTGGCAGCCTGAGTTGGTGCGATGCAGGTTGTGAGAGCCAAGGATGCATGTGGTACAGGGTAGGAGGTGGGGGACCTGGGGTATGGGCCCTCTGGCAAAGACAACAAGTCCTGCAGTTGCCTGATGTCTGCCTCTTCCCACAGATCTGTCCCCTAGATACCTCACACTTTCTCCCAAAATACATCTCTCTCTGAATCATTCCTTCTTTCCACTCCTCTCTCTGTGTCTCTCCACAGCCTCTCCCCAAACCTCATGCTCTCCTTCTTAACATGAAATGGAAACCAGCTGAAATTTTAATGCAGTTGAATGTCTGAAACGAACTGTAAACTGGAATTAACGAGGGGATTTGAATGTATAGATCAAGACAGAACATTGCAGCCAAGACACCCTTTGTAGGCATTACATCCATACAGAATATGTTGCCATGAATATAAAATAAAGCTCATTTGCAAATATAATACAAAAATAATCTCGGAAAATAATCCTTATGAATATTTTTATCTATAGTGCCAGACAAAAAAGAGAGCATTGAGGAAAAGTTCAGCCTTCAGGATGAAAGGTGCAAAATGTAAAGACCCTTATTCAAGTATTTAAGTTTGCAAGTATACTGAGCATGACAAATGTAATGTTTTTTTTAATTTGTTTTTTTAAAAAGCCTTCAAATTACCAAAACATTAAATAATTGTATGTGAATAATCAGAGCTCAAATGACTAAATTCTACCCTAAATAATATGTATTTCTTATTCTCTGTCAGCTTTCAATGTGAAGGTGCCGTTTCAAATGATTTCCTTTAAGGTATAATTTGTGGCTAAATAAATGCACAAATAATGCAAAGATCATGGGCTTCGGGGGAGATAGGATTCATCTCACCCCTAGAGAAGGGAGAGGACACATTTGGTAACCTGATTTAGTCATTTTAAGGCAAGAAGTATTCATTTGGTGCAACAAATATTTAATTTGTGCATTCAAATTCCCTTTTTGTCCCCTTACAGTAAATACCAAATAATCAAGTCATTAATTTTAAACTCTGGAATACAAATATAAGGGTTATATATTATATATAAGGATATAAACACTCATTTTAGGTTATCAATGAGTATTCGTTCCCTGCTGTTACCTGTCTCTTCCGTATGAGCTAGCCTGGAGAATTGTTAAATTACATTCTTCAATCCACTCCGCGGGTTCAGAGTCTGCAGTGTACTGCTTTGACCCAGTGTTGACACCTTCCATTGCCTTCTTTTTGTACCATAAAAGCAAAAACAAAAGGCCAGACCCCCTGCTGAGCATAGGGGTTTGTGTGTGTGTGTTTGTAGGTCTAAATGTGTGTCTGTGCTGTATTGTATGCTAAAACTATGACTCCTTCACCTTCTTTTTAATGCAAAAGATCTGTTAACCAGCCCTCGCATCCAGAGTCTTTACATCTTGATTTATTTTTACTTAACTTCTGCCCCACAAACTGCCTTTAAAGCCCTCCTGAATGTGTGTGTACATGGTCGGGGGGGTTCAGCGAGGAAGACTCATGGGAAGAAAGGAGAGCGAGAGCGAAAGAAAGAGAGCAGGTACTCTCAGTAGACACTGTGGACCGTTTTGAAAGGAGATGTTTGATTTCCTTTGAAAAAGGGCCCACTGCCATGTTGTGGTCTTTAAGCATTCTGCGTTGAGGGTGCCGTCAGTGCTGGGCCCCCTTCCTGTGTTTGGTCTTTTCTGTCTCTGCCTAACTGTCTGCTTGGCTGTCTGAATGTAAGGAGGGGCAGCGCTAAGGATTTGGAGGGGTGGGGGGTTACTCTCGGAGGAACAGTGGGAAGGAGAGAGGGAAACTGGAGAAGAGTGCTGAGATGTAAAGGAGGGTAGGTGAGGAAGGATGGCTGCTGGCAAAGCTATCCCCATTCAGGTGAGAAAAGGAAAAGCGGGAAAATCCTCGAAAAATAAATACCGGGTTCTAATAATATATCACCACAAGAAAGTTTCAATGCATGTGGTGAAGAAATATAGGCTCAACAGTTACCTTGAATTAAAGAAAACACATGAAACTAAGCAATACGGTGCCATGATTAACTGCCTCGTCATTACTATTCTGCTGATGTAATGTGTCCACATGAGTAAGCAAACCAAAGACAGTGTGTGTGCCATGTTTGTGTGTCTTCACTTGGCAAACCATGCAGAAAGTGGTGAATGTTGTCAATGTTGCTAACAGGCTGTAACACCTTTACGGTGTCACAAACACATGTTAGAATAGGCAGATGTGTGTGTGCGGGTGGCGTGTGTGTGTGTGTGTGTGTGTGTGTGTGTGTGTGTGTGTGTGTGTGTGTGTGTGTGTGCGTACTCACCCTCTCTCTAGCTTTTTGGATCTTCTCACGGTCACTGTGCAGGTTGCTGAGAATCTCCTGACCCACTTGTTCTGTAAGAGAAGACGGTGCAGGGTGAGAGGAGTGTGTGTGTCTGACATTTGCAAACTGACCGAAAAGACGGCCTCACTCAAAACGTAAAAGTTTGAATACATGATGTATTTTTTTAAGCAATGTAACTTGAGTTTCAAACTTTTTATTCTCTGTCTTTCAACTCCACCTTTGGTACTTCAGTCGGAATAATGTGAACAGAATATTTTATACCTAGATTCACAGATTTTTTTAATAGCAACAAAATGTTTGACTAGATCCTTTAGTAAATAACATCCAGGGTTGCATCATTCAATTATTTCAGAAACAAAAAGGGAGAACAATTTTCATGTTTACATTTACTTGGAGTGTTCTGTATGCAGGCCTTGTGCAACATTCCATTTTTTTGGTTGTGGTAATTGTTTATGTCTATTAGATTTTTATGCTGCATTGTTGTAGAAGCCTCGGATTCAAGATGTTCATTGCCATAACTGTATTGTAGGTACTGTGTATATGAAAATAAAAAATGTCAATCGTGTACAGACGGTACATTCCATTAATTTATTTTATATATATTCTTAAAAGTCTGAAGTAAATAAACAACACGTCCTAGGCGACAATACCCCAGCATCTTTTCTGCCAGTGGGGTCCAAAAATGCAATATTCAATAGGCCATTCTTTTTTAAATGCCTCTCGTCAGTTGTAGATGTAAACACATTAACGCACAGTTATAAAACATCCCCGACAAGGCACCTGACAAGCTCGTCAGTGGTCACTGTCAGCTTCCTGTCCCTTGGGTTGGGGACGAAAAAGAAAGCAACACAAAATAGAAAATGAATAAGCTGCCCCACCCCCCGCCCACCCCCCACCACAAACTACTGCTGCCATCAATGTAACCATGCTGCTCCAGCATTAGCGTTTAAAAATGAGGGAGGCTGAGGATGAATCAGGAAAAAAAGGAAAAGAAGTGAAGAATCTTTGCATGGATCAAAGACAGGCTTTCAAGCGCACCAAACAAATCCGGAATAAACAACGCAGTTGCTGACTGTATTACACTACACAGGTGCCGCACACCAAAGGGCCCACGTGCTGAGCCCCTGTTTGGGGGGAGCAGTGCAAAAATGGGATACATCTGGCAGCTAAACAAGAGAAGAGAGGGAGAAATAGAGTAAAAGATAGAGAGACGGAGAAAGGAGATCAGGGAAAAGTAGAAAAAAGAGGAAGCACTGTCAAATGAACGACAGTCGTCTCCCATTCATCCCATCCCTTTTACCCCCCTACACTGTAAGTGACTCAAATGTGTCTCTTCCTGCCTTCATTAATTTCTAATCTGGGACGAGACAGATTGAAGGATACCCAGATTAAACAGTGCAGTCAGACAGTCACATGTGACAAATAGGGCAGATTAAAAGACTGAGTGCAGGTATTAATAACCATAAAAAAACAAGCCCTCCCCCGTCCCCATTGGAGAAGAACAAGGGATAAACAGGAAGGGAGTTTTTGCCGAATTCTTCTGTTAAACAGACAAATAAGCACATCTATCCATCTCTGTCAAGGCTGTGGCGTTTTCTTTTAAATAAATGAGTGTGACAAGGACTGCAGCAGCAGAGTTTTTTTTTTATGGCAAGTGCATTATTGGAAAGGTTTGCAAGGTGTGAAAAGATGGATGAGTTAGCAGGAGAAAAGGCCTCCGATGATAGCTCAGTCTAAGCACTGAGAAATCATTACACTCATTCCGTTTGTTTATTTTGAAAGCCAATGATGGTTTTGTGAACGTTTAGGTAAAAGGAAATAATGGACAGCCTTGGCAATGAGATATGTTTCAGTGGACGAGAATAGGACCACTGGATTCAGGTTTCTGTCTATTGTAAGATGCTGATGAGTGCTTGTGCTGTCTGAAGAATGAAATGAATACAATTATGTTTGGCCCGGGTATTAGAGGACCAATGCACAGCCTTGATCAAGAGAGAATATGCTATACTCTTCAAAAATCAGAGAAGTGTTATTACACAAGATTTTAAGCAAATTCAGGTCTTTAAACATTTGTATGAGTTAATGGAGGAATAACAGCTAATATCACATTGAAGATATAATGGTCAGTGGCATATTCAGTTGTTCTAAAGAATTACGGTTAAATATAACCCTATGAAATAAAAAATGTCACCATGACTCCTTCAGATAAAAACATTTTCCTAGGCTGTGTTAAGGTCTTTCCCAGGTCTTCCAAAAATCTCTCACCTTTCCAACAAAGGAATGATTTTGGAGGACTCTCCCCGACCACACCAAGCTATTAAGGGTGTGCATAACATCTCCCAAGGGAATGTATGGTGTTTATTGTCTTTATCATGTATCTTCCCTTGCATTAGTCATTCTCTGGCATGTATCTACATTTACATTCATCTTATTTAACTCCTGCTGTCCAGTGGTCCGTGTAAAACACCATTAGTTACTGGGGAACAATAAGTTGTTGGGCAACAAATGGTGCAAGATATTGAGCTAAAAACTAAAAATCTATTGGAGTAGAGTAATGACAAGCTCCTCAAGAAACAACTTGCATGACTTAAATGCTATTTCATCATCATCATCAAACACTATAGGCTATATATGGGCTTTCACCCATACTGTCAATGCGTCTGAAGACCACAGTGAACTCATACCTCTGGTCTTAGCTCATGTTGATGTGTGGGAAAATGTGTGGTAGAACCTGACCTTAAATGGCATGTTGGTGCATAAGATTTGCTATGTTAACCCTATATGTTCAAGTATATACAGCACAGCAATCGCAATAAATATAGAATTTATGACTACAACAAAAATGTGGGGTAAAAAAAGAGAAAGGTGGACGGTTGATAAAACCAAAGCAGGAGAGGAGAAATAATTTTGTGTTAATAGCCCTGACTTGTTGCTCGTTAGTGTTTAAAATATTCCCCTCCTGTTTAAATAGCTATTAACAATTTAAATAACCCTGGCCCAGAGGCCTTGCTCTGACTCACTCAAGATCCCCATCCCCAAAGGTCCATTTAACAAGCCCATTATTCCATTACATTACACTCACACCAGCACCACTGAGCCTTAATCCAACTCATTCCTCTAATGTAACTGTAGAAAAGAATTAGTATAGATAGTCGAAGGCACAAATTAGATTGAGGGGGGAATAATGTCTGGATCAGGAATTAGACACAGAATTGACATGGCACAGTTTATCTCAGCTCAACCCTGCTAAATGTTTCTAATAATAATACGGTGGACGGAAAATATATTTAATGGACAATTAACTTTACTAATGTAGAACAATAAACCAGCTTAAAACGAGCCGGACACAGTTGGAGAGGAACCCTTTTATATGCTCTGATTCTGGAACAAAGCTGATACAATAAGTTGACAGAAAAATATTCAACAACTTCCTAAAATCTTTTATTTGCCAACATTTCCCCAGTTTAAGCTTACTCAAAAGTTGTTCTGCTACTCTTAGCTTTTTGTGAAAACAGAGAGGCTTACCTATTTTTATTTTACCTTCACATGCTAGAAAGAAAAGGCTAACATAATAATTTATAATTCTGTGTAAAATGTAAATATTTTATCATGGACAAAACCATGCAGAAAACCAACAACTTTGGTGCCATGAAAAACCTCCACCTCCTTAAACTTTTTTCAGTCCATGACACATTTAATTGGAGGCATCATCTGTTTTATAGGAGCTGTTTCAGAGCAGTTACATACTGTCTAAGGGCTCTTTCTCTATTTCTGAGTTGCATTTTTGCCTTGCTCCCTCCGTCCCCAGAGCCCAAAGGGTACAAGACCTGACAGTGGTGTGCTCTGAGGCTCAGCACAGCTCCTTTTCATTAAGCAGTTGAGACCACTTTTTGAAGGTTACCACACACACTTGTATCCGGACACAAGCCACACACTCTAACAAACGGGGTAGGGGCACCCATGGGAAGATTGAGGAGGAGCCAGATAAATGTTAGACCATACATTTTCTCACTATCTCTCTCTCAAGCTTTGCTCAATTTCACACACACACAACAGACACAAAGTGTGGCAGTCGACTTATGCCTGTTACTCCCAGGTGAATAAAGTTACCTGTCTTTCTACACTTCCAGAGAAGCTTTTCTTACGTCTACAACTGCCTGGTGACATACTTTCATCACCTCCATCAAAGTTGTACCCACACTGGGATGTATTTGTAATGCTGAGCCCACAGGCCATGAGGCTTGCGCCTTCGCACTGAGCATAAAAAGGTGCCAAATGCTAGGTCACAGGGGGGGCATGCAGCATCTGGGGGCTCAACAATGTTATGACAGACTACTTGTAATAATAACAGACACTGTTGCATGTTAATTGGGAACTGTTTCTTCACAGGACAGCAGAGTACATTGAATAAAGTGTCTAGATTCATTAAAGGAAGGGCTCAAAATTGGGATTTTTCCAAAATGGCTTTAGCATTGACTAGTCTTTAACAACACACTGCATAGGTGTATATGAAGGTGATTCAGTGGCAGGGTATAAGCACCTTAAAGGCCCAAAACTAGCAATATTCTGGGCAGGAAGAAGCAGAGCCATATAAGTCCATCCTGACTTAGCCCATGCAGCGGCGTTGCATGTGTATGAGTGGTGGTGGGCAGTCAGGGTGGATTTCTGGGGCCTTTCTTCACTCCGCCGGGCTCTGTTTTATTCATCGCCTGCGCCCTGACCCCGCAGAGCTCCTGTTCTGACAAATCACTTCTGATTAAGACAGATCTCAGTTAGTCAGACACTCAACTTGGCCTATTTATCATTCCATAGAAAATATCCCTCTCTCCTCCCCCCGTCCCTCCTCTCCCCCCCCCCCCCCCCCCCCCCGGCTCGTTTGCCTGTCCGTCAGACCGAAGCAAGCGCAAAAAGAAATGTCTGCTGTTTTAAATGGCTGATTATAGACATTTGGAGGATGGAGAGACGTAAGAGCGTCTTATGGGTGATAAGACGAAAGTGTAATGGGTATAAATGACCGGGCCTGCAGGAGAGCAGCTGCTAATAGAACCAT